TGGATTAATAGAAATTGCAATTGCGCAAAGTAATACCGCTATTTTGACTGTGGGCGTGCATGACGCGTAATGGAATCGGGATGATTGATAACCGGAGGATTATTAAACGGCGATAATCCACCCCGTAATTTCTTTTCGAATCGCTTTGGATGGGAGCTAATAATTTCATTATGCTACCTGATTACAGTCCCCCTTTTAACGGCTTAAAAGCTTTATAGTCGACGATAATGTCTGACATGCATTTTTAAAATGTTTTTAAGCAAATGCGACTGCTTTAATAATAAACTACACTCTTTCATGTTCCTTAATTTCTACCATGGAAAAGGATGCTGGGTATAGGCTCGTGCAAGGACTCACAAGATTCAGTTTAACCACTGATTAACGTATTCACGTAAATAGGTACGGGTACGTTACATTAAAATTAAGCAACATAGTTTTTCAAAAGTGGAAACCTATAACACTATCAATAAATGCCTATAACCGTCGAGAGGGGGGTTTGAGCCATTAAAGTACTGTGTGAAAGTTTTCCCAACTCCCATAAATCACATCCAAAAAGTATTAAATGGTAACCGTCCACGGTTCAACAATAAGAAGGCCTTTAGAATGCTTATAATTAGTTATAATCATAGTATAGGTTTCTTTACGATGCTCTTTGTTTCACCCACGGAGGTCATGCGAGGTTTTCTTTAATTTCTTTAGGCGCACGCACTACTTTGTAAAAAGACGAGATTCGATTATTACTTACTCTCCATTCCAGTTACTCGACAATTTTTGTCAGCCTTTTGGGATTTTTATTGGAGCTGTATAAGTTTAGAGAAATTTTCTCTTGTTATTTTGCTTTCGACACGTTGATGATGCATTTGTGAATATATTTTACACATACAAGGCCGTTTTCGGTATGTTAATGAAAATTAGGTATTTACCTTTTGACTTTGAATAATCATTTTTAGGCTTCTTACTTCTGGTTTCCTCTTTTCTTCTTTATTGCGCAAGAAAAGTTCAGTTGGGGAGATCCACCGCCATCTTATCAAGTCAAGCACGCCATAGATGAGTTTCTACATTACGGGCTGGGAAAATTCGACTTTAATTCTGCAAATTATTACCTGTGACCTACTTACACACGAAGTTTGTTGACCTACACTTCGATGATTGTTCCTGAATTGTAATCGAAAGTATTAACGAACCGTTTGGAGAACGATACTCGTGAAAATTGCTTCGATATCTCTGATTCTATTTACACTACCCGTGTCGTTTCCGAAGAATATACCTAGCGAGACCCGATTTGAGCAACATTACCTACGATTACTTTTGTGTGACTGAGAGAAATCATTTGTGTTAGTTTAGCTACGTTTCATATTATCATTTATGTTAATTGATTTACCGATATTAGCTACCATTGCTTTGTAAATAAATTTTTGAAGTTACCAAGACTCTTGTCCAAAGCTGATATCTACTGGTTTTGGTTACGTTATTTGTTTTACTCAGAAGAATCGGCTCATATTACCTTGGTTATGTTTTAAATTGTCGGACTAATAGAAATTTAGTTATTCGTGCATCGTAAAGTTCTGTGTTAAGTTTAACGTCACGTTTACGCTTTTCTACGCCGACGATTGTAAAAATAATCCCTGGTCTGTCAAAAATTTACTTTTGTTAGTGTAAAGTCGTTCGAATTATTTATTCTTATTGGGTATCAATTACAGTTTGGCATTGCATGCGCAATTTTTATGTGCCGTGATATTCACTATCCCTTTTATTGGTTTGTTTGTGTTGTCTGTTACAGATTGGCAGAAAGCGCCCTTCTTGAGCTCAATAAAACCGTTGCGACATGTAGTTCAAAAGGTAATTTTTTTATTTCGTCGGCTCCTTGATATAACGTTTGATTACATACATATACTCTCATTGGCACTCATCAAATTAAACCTGTGGATGACCTCGGGAAGTCCTAACGTAACAAAAATGAAAAAATATTAAAAACAATTCAAGTATTAGTAACAAAACAAAACTGTGAAGTTGCTAGTTCCAATTCTCATTTCGAGCCAAACTCTTATCAACATAACATGTTTATTGTGTTAAAGTAACATATGAGCTTATGATCTTCTGAAAAGATCATACCCTAAAAAACAAATAAAATTAATGCTCTAATAGAACAAGAATTTTCTAGTACACCATTGGTTTAGAAATTAAATTTGCTTTGGACCATGTAACATATTCCTACACTATTTAAGATATTGGTACAAATCTGTTATTCTCCTACAATTCTTGATTTTTTTAGCTTCCTAGCTTGAGATAGGTGGCTATTGCAAAATTTCATCAAATGTCGACGTTTTAGATCATTTTAAGCAACTATTCAAGAATAAAATTTTGGATCTGTAATGTGTACCTAAACGTCTTGTAGACGTTACTTCGGTCTAAACAGTAAAAATAACGACATTATATTTCGTTGTCATATCGAAACTTCAGTTCTTGAACTTATTCCCAGTTAAGTTTAACAATATGGTAGTGTATGTAAGTATGATAATTGTTATGAAAAGTTAACTCAAAATTAGTTTGATGCAAAAAAACATCCATGGTCCTACCTACACCTCATTCTTTATGAACGTTGTTGAATGTACACGATTCCTCGAAAACTTTATTTTGTTCAAATATTTTAACCCGAATCATGATAAGAAGGTTAGACGGAGCTTTTAGTCTAACAAGCCTTCACATAGTAAAGCTAATTTAATCCACTAGTTTTAGATACACAATTATTGTGGGTAGATAGCATAATGTTAGTAAATGACGTGCAGAAGTTTCGAATTGGGTACACATTTTTCTCGGGCCTCTCTAAAGTAGCTTTCGTGTTTAGACTTGAGGACAATCTTTTCTAATGACATACATCTACAGGCATACTGCGTTATATTTAATTGGTCATTTCAAAAGTGCCTACTGCCATTTAGAGTATTATTTCTACAAGGCGTAGTAAAAACCGAATTGATTCTACCACCAAACAACAACACAAAGAATATATCGAAAATAAGTATTTACACAATAATCATTACTTTAAGGGGGACAAACTTTTACGATCGATGATAAGGACCCTTGAAAGTGAGTTTCAAGCTTCCTCGATTAAGTAAGTGGTATACTGATGTCCAACAACCCTCAAACAACACTTACTTATCGAAACACAAATTACTCATGTTATATTGACTACTTGTGTCTTTTGCTACGGTATATTTTCCCTTTTCGAACAGCTCCTTTATTCTACAAAACCCAGTTTTAAAATCTGCACCAGTTTCTACTCGAAAGATCGCATTTTCTACAGTATAAAAATATTTATTTACTCTCTTATAGTGCAATTAAACCAAATCAGATAAATAAATGTAAATGTAAACAAGTTAAAAAGTTTACATAAAGCGGATTTCCACTTGCATTCATTTCCCATTTCCGGCCACAAATATGAAAGATAGCGATGCACATGGGCAATCCATTTTTGACGTGCTACTTCAATTTCAGTTTATGAGAAGAATTTCATTTCCATGCTTTTCTAAATAAGAAAGTTGGAACTGCGCATGCGCAAACCTAAATTTTGAAACTAATGTTAGATTTTCCTTTGTTCCAAGCGCCTAAGTATCAAATTTCAGTTAAATGGTGCCATAGATAAAAAAAGTTGGCACTGCGCATGCGCAAAACCAAATTTTGAAATTGGTGTTTGATTTTCCCTTATCCCAAGTGCCTATGTATCAAATTTCGTTTAAATTCTTCCATAAATAAAAAAGTTGGCACTGCGCATGCGCAAAACCAAATTTTGAAATTGGCGGTTGATTTTCCTTTATTCCAAGTGCCTATGTATCAAATTTCATTCAAATACTTTTATAAGTCAAAAAGTTTGCAATTCGGTTTATAAATGGTCGAGATGCGAAAAGGGCACTGTGAATTTTGAATCGATTCGATTCAACTTTTGGCATTGCGTATTATATGGCTAAAGCTATGCCCATATTGAATTTCATGCAATTCAGTTCATAACTAACGGAGATGTAAAAGCGATCGAACATTTCTAAACAAAGTTATCGTTCACACGGACAGATAGATGGACAGACAGACAAAGGAACAGACGGACAGACCAACCGGCAGACGACAGATAGCAATGCAAAATTATAAACGATCTCTAGGATCGTTAATAAACGGCAAAAGTGTAAAATTATGGAACATGTAAAAAACGGTTTTTTGTTTTTTTTACAATAACTTTTTTTGTAAGCGGTACAAAAAAAATTCCTTCCTTGGTACAAGACTCGACACCATAACGAACCAAATAGCGAAAAAAGTAGAACAATAGCTCTTAAGATAAAGAACTAGTAGCGTCGCAAAACTAGCGGACGGACGGACGGACGGACGGACGGACAAAGTGGCCACAATAGCGCATTTTTTATTTTTGTGGAAATGCGCTAAAAATGAAAATAAGATAAATACTCAGTCAGTACACCCCAAGATATATAAGTTCACCTTAGGGTTTTAATAGTTTATCCAACAAAATTAGATGCATATTGATTTATACACGTAGTATAAGCGGAGTAGAATGTTAACGATAAACGTACGCATCTAAATCAGCGTGAGTTGTTACTTGTTACCATAGCAACCAAACTCAAAAACGTAGGGGTTCTCTTTGCCATGTCGAAAATGGCATTAGAAACAAAAGATGCTGCTTGAATATTGGTTTAAACTCGACGTAAGTCTCTAAAGTTACGTTGGTTCCGCTTTAGTTTCATATAAATAGCTAAGCACGTGGCTAGCCGAGAGAGACGCTTATTTTTTGTGAAGGTGTACACATCGAATTAATTAAAACTGAACAGTCGGCGATCGGGTTACTGTACTGTGTATAAAAACCGGTAAGCGATTTAACTTTTTCGACTTTCAATTCTAAATAACACTTCACTTGGTTCAAATATTCTAACCCGAACTGTAATAACGGAGCTAGAGTGGGTATATTTATAGGTCATACAAGAACATATGTTTATAACCGTTTAGTAAGATTTTGGTTAACCAATAAATAATAAAGTATATACAGTAAATAATAAATAGTTAGATACCTAGTGTGTTTTGTTCGTTTTGAAAGTGTCGTGGGATTATCTGTTCTTATACAAGAGGCAGGGTCGCAACGAAACAGGGAGGTTACAATTCCATGAGCCTATGGTACTAAATTGGTGGCATACACCAAGTGTGACAGTTGGATCAACTATCAACGAAATGGTTCTCATTTTGGATTTCGATATGTTTTCATGAGAGTACTAGATTAGACATGCTCATTTTTCGATTAACTCAGTCCCTTCATCTGCAGTTATCGTATCTTTCTTGCTGTCCACACTATCCCATTTTTGAACCTAAACGAAATGCCAATTAGGATAAGGATAGAGTGTGCTTAATTAATATCTTTTACCTCAGATGATGCGAAAATAATAAATAATATACAGGAGAGAATTCCTATACTGCCACATATTGTAAATATGTACTTCCAGCCTTTCAAGACGTTCTAAGAAGGGTATTGATAAGAGCAGGTTTGTTCTTTAGCAGTCTTACCGTGTTTTGTAAAAGCGTCTTCGTTACCATCGGGGCTAACACGTTAGAGGCGACCGAAAACATCTGAACTAAGCTAATTGCCGGAGCAGTGTAGTTCGGTGCAATGTCCACTATGTTAACCATAGCCCCCGAAAAGCTTGCCGGCAGGAATATGCTGATAAGAGCCCACACACTCAAAAGAGCTGAAATGTCGCAAGGCAAATACCCCAATGATATCATTAGCAATGCCGATGGTATGTGACCTGTAAATGGTACGCGATGAGAATACGCAAATCACAATTTTCACTTACCTACAGCGGACATTAATTTTCGATTGGTCAGCAAGTCCAAAACGTTGTGTATTCGCAATTTATCCGCCATGTATGAGAAGATCAATGAAGAAATGAAGGCAGCCAAACAAATTACACTAGCAAATTCTCCGTTCTTAAAAAAAGAGCTTGAGCGTTTTCGACACCTTCGGACCCTTACCCTTTCCACGTTTAATCCAATGACATTTTTTAAGTACGATGGGCCACTTATATTTATAACTGCAAGTGCCCACATTCTACCAAATGCCGAGAATGCAATTGCCCACAGAGGTAAAGAACAAACCATGGAATCCCATGGGACTTTATAACTGTAAACGCTCAGCATCTCGCGATTGCTCTTAATATACTCAAGTTCGCGCAAAGTAATACTTGGGTGCAACTCTGGCTTGTTATACGCTAATAAACACCAACATATACACATTATCAGCGCTGCAAATTGACGAATAACTTCTGAACGAATAAAATATACCAACCAAGAGCTGCGGCGATAACGTACGTATACTCCCATCCAACAAAGGCTATAGTTAAACCAGGTAGCAGTTGATTCAGCATGTTACCGATGAAAAATCCCTGAAAGCAGGATGAAAACCTACTTCGTTCATGAATCGGAATCCACGATGGTATCAGACCGAATAGGCCAGGCCACACAAGCCCCTACGAAACTGACAATTTAGATGATCGAGCCCCAAGCACGAACCTGTGCCAATCCGTGTACGAACTGAAGAAAAATAGCGGCATGATAGTCAAGTTTACTGGCAAATGCAACCAAAACGTTACATACGAAGATGGTGAACAAACTGCTCCCGATCACCTTCTTTGAACCGTACTTGTACGTTGCGTAACCTCCGAAAGCTTGCGAAATTATGGTACCAAAATGAGGCGACGTCAAGAAGAAGTACTGTACATCGTCTGACCAATCCAAGCTTCCCCCATAGTTCTGCGAGAATATGACCTAGTTTATTCGATTATTTCGAAAACACTTACGTTAGGATCTCTCGAAGTCGATTTATTTTCCTGTGCACTACATGTAATGGTAACTTCGGTTAGGTTACCGGGGTGTTCTTTCACCATAGCAAGTAGCGTTAAATTTGCCACCCCTACATTCAATATGGTGACTATAATAACAAAGAGTGAAAGTATGTACATTTGTATGCGCGCGGGAACCATTGATTATTATTGTTTCGGGCACCTCACATGCATAAAGTCTGATTGTTGTACCGAGAGAGTGATTATTGCTTTTATCTAGAGCAGGAAGTTTCATATCTTCTTATCACATTCAGCGGAGATTAAGTATTAATGAAGTTAATTGGACCTAGTAAAAGGTCTGCTAGAGTTTATTCGTTTCAAGTTGGTATCGAAAATCATTTCCACCGCTAAAGAAGATGCAAAACATAATTGAAATGTCAGATTTTTCAAATAAAGATCCAAATTTGGCTCGGATCTCCTTTAAATTTCCTCTAAAATTGGGAATCAGCAGATTAGAAGCAAGGTCACATTTTTCAATTAAACGTACTGTAAAGAAGTCTTTACTAGTTATCAAAGTATGCATCATTCTGTACAACTGCTAAAGTATGTATATGGGGAACCGCGAAAGGGCAACTACGGTGACTGTTTAAAAAGAACGAATTTTTAACAATTCTATCAAAATTTCATTTTTTTAAATAAATATTGTCACAAAATGTAATAACTTCAACCAGTGTTTGTTTTTTCCTTTTAGAAATTAAATAGTTGCGTATTTTTTTTGTTTAAATTTTATCGCTTTGAAGTTGCTCAATTTAGAAATAAGGTAGAAGTAACATACATCTGGTCAAGTTTGCGTACTTTATAAAAGGTTTTATCTGACCGTTGCGACAAGAAAAAATTAATTAACGCACGTGTTTTATCGCTGAGAGATACGGTGATACAAAGAATTGCGCATTTCATGTGCAGAAGCGGGGACGGTTGGCGCCTTCCGTCGTGGTTGGCGTTTATGAAAGCTATTGATGATTGGCGAAGTTTTTGAAATTTTGTTAAAAAGATTATGGTATAGTGAGTGGTTTTTTAAATATTGGAATCAACGTAAAAACGAAGATCGTTTCGCGACGGTTGAAGAGCGTGTAGATATTTTTACGCTAATTTTTGGGCAGTCGGCGCTATTTGTTTAGTTGAAGAAGCAGTTCGTGATGTTTATAATTTTTTATAATAGGTCTGTGAGAAGTTTAACGCATGTTGTCCGATTACCAAAAAAGTATCGTCGAGTTGAAAAAGCAAAGGAATTGTAGTACCGCGAGGCCCTATGGGGAAACAATCCCTCAGAATTAATTTGAATTAACGTAAATTGATTTGATTTGACGAATTGATTTGAATTAAGGTGAATTAACATGAATTTACGGGAATTATTTTGAATTAACCTGAATTAATTTGAAGTTGAATTTTTGGTGTACACAAAAAAAACAAACAAAATTAGCTACTAATAATTTTGATGCAAAACTTTGACCTCGACTTCAACTCTATGTCCTATCTCAAATTATAACCACATTTAACGTTAACAAATAATTGAAATTCACATACAGCATGGCCAATCCTTTTTTTTGGTGCTAAAACCACGCCAGGATCTCGCTCCATGAAAATTCAGGTTTATGACGGCCCAACCCTGGTAAATAATAAAAAAATGCTACATTAATAACCTGTATCAAATAGTTACGTTCATTTAAAGTGTTCTCATAATTCTGATAAGATTCACAACAAATAGCAATCAGTAATGAGTAAAGTTCCATGCATGGTCGCCTAATATAAATGATAGATAGAGTGAGTTAACATTACACAACATTTTTCTATAAAGGCCTTAAATTTACGAAGGTATCAAGCGAATAAGAGTGCAGGAAAATTCTTTCCGGAAAATTAGCACCGGCAATTACGCCCCTGGAATATTCTTGCTGTAATAAACACGCCCGAAAGTTCGCCTTCAAAATGTTGACCCGATTTGATTCATAAAGCGCCATTTTGGGGCGTGAAAGAGTTACAAAATCAAGTAGGGACGCGCCAAGGAAAAGAAAGGGATTCTTCGATTAGCGACTTATTGATTTATTCTGTAACAAAGTTACTTATTTTCCGCCTTGCAACCTGCGTTGAAGAACGCCCGGTATATAAACTCGATGTGAAAGTGCTTCGTTACAAAGACTGTAGTTCTGAACGCATTTCGTTTTGATTTATTTAATTAACTCGTTTTCAAATTGTTCCCTTATATGTAGCATCCGGCAGCCCTTGGCGTGGAGAAAATGATGCTGATGTAATACTTCAAGATTTCAGCTTCATTAGTCAGCCGATTTTTTTAGATTCCATGTGGTAAAGAAACAAAATAGAAAAGCGGTTTTAACGACTCAAAGGCCGTACGAGATAAGCAGCTGGTTATCTTAAATTCTTAACCTCGCAGATTGCATTTAAATTCCAACTAAAAGGTGTTAATTGGATTAACGAATATTAGAGTTTCGATGCGGTCAATTAAGTAAGCATAATTAATGATTGACATTTAAATGAGTTGCAAAAAATACGATCTGTTTGCCTTGGGCCTCAAAAGAAGTGCTCTTAATTAGGGCGTAATTAATTAAAAAGAATTTTAATTTGTTTGATGCATCATTCCGTTTCATTTTGCTTTGCAATTAAGTTACCGCACCGTTTGGAACTAAGGTATAGGTTTTCAATCCGCATACTAACATTCTGAACGTTAAGCTTATGAAGTAAAAATTTAAGGAGGGTGGTTGTGGCGAGAGAATTTAGGTTTGGATTTAAATTTTTTCGATTTTCCGACAGAAAAAAGTAAATTAGAATTTTTAAAGCTATAAAAAGTCTCGAGGTTCTGCAGTGTCCTCCCAGACAAATATTGTTGATGATTCAAAGAATTTAGGTGGTGGTTTGCGGTGAACAAATTGCGCGTTAATTCTAACAAGTCATTATCAATGCGTCTTTGTTTTTTCAAGTTCAAGATTGCGCTGTTTTTGCAACAACCTTAAAACCATCTGTGATTGGTAGTACAAAAGACACTAACCAACAAAAAATTTAGACATCGCCATTTTGAATATGCCATTATGGACGTTCAAAATGTTACTCAGTAGTGAGGGGGTAGAGAAATTGGAATATTTACAGAATTAGCGTTTTGCCATTTGGTGCGATCAGTACGATCTTGTAGAAAAGAACAATTCGCGTTTTGGCATTAAAACGTGACCATTTGGTCCCAATAGAAGCATACGCCTTTTTGTCCTTGGGGCACTCTTTCAAAGTTAAACCATGAACTTTCAAAGCTCGTGAAGAAAGTAGTTAGTATGTTACTTGCGTGAAGTAAAAATAAGCATACGGTGTAGAAATGGGACTTTCCCTTTTTTAAAACATCAATAGAGTTATCTGTGTAATTTGTGTGACTGTATTCACTAAATTCGGTGCTAATTAAAAAGTTGCAAACAGTAAAGCTAAAGGTGATTTCCTCATCAGTAAGAGCGATAACAACCCCCCAACTTTTCACTATATTCGAAATTTTCCCCGGAGTCTACAAAATTGAAGAAGATTTGAAAACAGTAGCGGTTTTCTCAACGTCGATCTACTCATTTTAAGACTTTAAGAAGGTTTAAGAAAGACGTGATCAAACTTTCGAAATTTGTTAAAAATAGTTTGGAAAGGCTTCATTGAGTAAAATTTTTAAAGAAGTGAGTTTAATTTTAACAATATATTTTCTCAAATAATTTTTTAAGCAGGGAATTGCACCCATAGAGAAAGATTCAAGAAAAGAGGGAAAGGAGCCTGTTTCTCAATCAGTTTTCTTTCAGTAATTGATTTAATTTCATTTCGTGCTAGCCGGGAATTAGCTGAAAAAATTTTACTGATAGAATTTAGATGAGAAACCGGAAGTTAAGGTAGGTAAAAGACGAGCTAAGGGTTTCAACGCCGTGAAACAGAAAAGCCTATTTCATGGTAGGTCACTACTTTCGAGCATGTAATTCATGTTTTTCTATTACGTATTACGATAATATTTTATAACTATTATCAGGTCTACATCCTGCTATGATAACATTAAGATTAACTATAAGAAACCGTATAAAAATTAAAATAAAGTAAGCACTAAGTTCGAGATGATACCGGCGCGTGTGGAATTATACATTCTTGCACTGCTAGTAATTACGGTAACCACTTTCAATTTAAACGTTGCTAGTACGACGATAGTGTCGATGGTAAAAGAGTTCTACATGAGGGTGCCAGAAACCGATGAGCTGAATGCGTGCCACAAGCGCGTCAATGCTTCCACGGTAAGAATTATGGTTGTTTCACGACTGAAATTGTGTTAAAATTCACGTAGAACAATGGAGGAAGCTTGGAATGGTCCGGTGACGTCCAGTTTTTATTCTTGACGTCTCCCTACTTGGGCTACGTAGTGGTGCAGACTCTGGGAGGGTACGCGACGCAAAGGTTTGGCACGAAGAAAGTGATCGGTTGCAGCTTGTTGACTATTTCCGCGTGCAATTTGGTGTTACCGATCGGATGTAAGGTTCATTACAGTTTCGCAATAGTTCTTCAATTTGTTCAAGGATTTGCGCAGGTTTGTAGCCGCAGTTGGTGCCTAATATGTGTCTTAAGTTCGTTAGGGAGGTATCTGGCCGGGACTGTTCGGTATCATCCCGTATTGGATTCCTTTGCGAGAGAGAAGTCGGTTTGGGTCGTGTTTCCAGGGAAGCGCGATAGGCGCCATGTCGGCGCAATTCATAGCTCGACTTGCTACACCCTCCATCGGATGGGAATATATTTTTGTTGTGGCCGCGTTCGTTGGTAATTTCGACTTGGGTACACTGCCTTTTCATTGTAGGATTTTAGGGCTAATAATGAGTCTGGGCTGGTTTCTGTTGGCTTGCAACGAACCAGAGCTCCATCCGCGGATTACCTTGGATGAACTGGATTACATCAAGAAACACCAGCAGGTGTTGCCTCCGTACAGAGATAAAATACCGTGGGGTTCTATGGTTGGATCTCTACCACTATGGGCAATACTGTTTTCTGCTTTTGGCAGAGCGTGGTTTGGCAACACAATTGGCATAAGCGGGCCGTTGTATTTAAAAGCAGAAATTGGTTTGGATGATGGCTCCGTAAGTAAACCAAGAGCGTAAAAGGATTCTTACAGTACTTATATTTCAAGATCGGAGATTTCTCTGGCGCAATTCACTTTGCAAGTTTTCTTACGGGATTAATTTTCGCTTATATTGCCGATAGATTGCTAATAGAGGACGTTGTCGGCGTACTTGCAAATCGTAGACTTCTTCTAGGAATAGGCAAGTATAGAGCAAATGGTTCTATTACCTAATCGTATCTCTTAGGTCAAATACCATCAGCAGTACTCATGATATCAATGGGTTATGTGTATTGCAACGTTCCCATTCTTTTGTGCTTTTGGGCACTTGTGCACGTAGACCTATCAGCGTGTGCACCGAGCGCGATGGTCAACGTTGTTGACGTGGCACCAAATTTCGCCGGACCCGCGATTAGCTTAATCCTAATGATTGCAGTCACACCCAACGTATTTGTTTTACTGGTGACAAACTCGTTATTACAAAATATGGTATGATTCTCGACCACTTGGGTCCAACTTAACCGCCTCCTGTATCTTTTAGAATGCTTTGGACGCATGGAAGTACACCCTTAGCATTGCAGGCGGTATAAGCTTAGTGTCGTGCGTACTGAATATAGTTTTCGTCTCAACTAAGGTAGGAAAAGTTGCAAAATGTGAAATAGTTACGATAGTGCATAGGTTCAAAAATGGAACTACGCCGAAATTAACAAGGATGACTACAGTCTGAACGAAAAAACAAAGTTAATCAATCGATAAAATAGGCAACAATAAACGATTTGTGGCTGCAGACATTACCAACAATAATAAATGCTCGAAAGGGGCAAATAAAAGGAATGTCCGTTGAAATATAATCGTCAAAAAACATTTTGGACTATTGGTTTATTTGGAAAAGCATGTTTCCTACACTACAACCTATACGTTACATACAATGTATCTCAGTACACAAGTTTGGATGTTTTGTGTGTAAATGAACTCTGGCTTGCCCATGATGATCAAATAATAACCTGTCAGTTTGAAAATTATGTAGTTGGCAGTCATTTTAATCGAAAATATTTTCAAAGAGGTGGGGCAATGATCCAAATTAAGCCTAGCCTCAGTTTTTTCACTTTACAGTTTGTCACTGATTTAAGTATAGAAAAAGATTTCGAATGTTGTGGTCTTCAACTGTTATCCAATTTTAAATGTGTAATGTCAATTTATCGTGAATCGGCAGGCAATATGGGTGTCTTTTTGATGCAGCTAAACAACTTGAACAGTTACTGATAATGCTTTCTACGAAAAAGCGGGTTATCATTTGTGGTGATTTCAATATAAATTTACTACTGGATTCAAAAAATGTAAAGATGTTTGTATCATTACTTTAACTTCACAAATATGTTTGACTCCCCGACAAGGGTTACAAGAACATCAGAGACGTGCATTGATAATATTTACACCAACTTTGATACATTTTGTTCAACCAAAAACATTTACATCGATTTTTCGGACCATAATGCCTTAATACTCAACATGACAGGCGCCGTCTCTAAAATGCACTACAATAAACACGTATACAGAAAGGGAATAAGTTTCAGTAAGATTAATTTAAATTTGTTTAGCAGTATGCTAACGAATACGAATTGGTCACAAATTTACACAGCCAAACATGGCAAATTTGATATATTTTATAGACAGTTTTTATGTTGTTTTAATAAATCGTTTCCTATAAAAAAACCTGCGCTCCAACGTACATAAGAAAGGATGAATTACTAACGGTATCAAAAAATCGAGTAAAACAAAACGGGAACTGAAGCAAATTGTTAATCATTTTCCGGATCCCACCTTAGTAAATTACTATAAGTTATATTGTAAGAAATTTAAAGACATAGTACGGGCCGCACCAAGAAATTATATCGCCGCTGAAATTAACAAATCTCCCAATGTTATAAAAACAGTATGGGAAGTAATTAAAATTGATTTAAATAAAAAAACAGAAGCCAGGGAGAACTTAAACTTGGTTGTTAATGATATTAAACATTATGACCCTCCTGTTGTCGCAGATTGTTTCAATATTAGTTTTGCTGATGTAGGTGTCTCCATCCAAAAGAATTAACTCCTATTCCAGGAGGGAAATTATTAATGTCGCCGAATAGAGGAACATCTTTGTTTCTTAGTCCTATTACACACTCCGAAGTGGAATCAATTATAAAATCTCTAAGGAGCACATTATCTACTGGATATGATGATGTCCCACAAAATATTATTAAGGTCGTTGCTAAATTAATTTCGAAGCCACTTGCAGCTGGGGTTTTCCCATATGTCTTAAAAATTGCTAGAATTCGTGCTCTATTTAAATCAAAAGATAAAACGAAGGTAGAAAATTATCGCCCAATTGCCATTCTGTCGATTTTTTCTAAAATAATCGAGAAAGCTTTAAAAAACCGTATTAATGAATATTTTAGACAAAATGATCTTTTTTGCAGCCAACAACACGGTTTCATACCCGGCAGATCTACTAGTACAGCTCGCAATAATTTAATGTTAAATATTTTAACTGGTTGAAAAGGGGAGAAGTGGACAGCTAGTGTTAATTGTGATCTATCTAAAGCATTTAATGTGTCATGACTCATGAATGAAATAAACGACTCAATTCCTCAAAACCTTCCCCATGGATATTTAATTGTTGACAGACAGATAAATTGTGAAATGTTACGACATGTTTCGATTGTTAATCATCTTCAGGTAACAAACTAAAATATTTAAAGTTATAAAATACTTCACATTTGCGATAAGGGTATGAAAATGAATTTTCTAGAAATGTTGGAGATGAACAAATTAAAAAAGAATGCTCACTTATCCCTGAATGAAATTCAAGGCTTTAACAATAACTTCTTATTCTTCCATTGATATTCTGATTCACTTTGTACTTTCCATTTTTGCTTTTTGCTTCACTGTGTATTAAAAGAGTTGGTATCACTGCTCCCCAAATTTAAGTTATATTGGTATCTGTTTGTCACTTGCCTTCAGCCGTTAATTGCCCAATGGGGTTAAAATTTTGAAATTAAATAATGTTAATCTTTGCTCATCAATGAGTTGTAAGTATGTTTTGTTCAGAGTTATTATCTAATTCAATAATAGTTTCAGATTTCAAACAATGTTAGTAATATTTGTATAGGCGGTTTCCGCTTGGCCCTCAGCTGGCCGTGTGTGTTTTTTTATATCAACTATGTTAATATTTGTTTAAAATTTACCCTCTTCACCATGGCCCGTAAGTATAAGATCTCACAAATACAATGTGTTACCCGAGACTTTTCTAGGTTAACTCAAAATTGTTGAAAATTTAATTTAATTCTTAAATCTTGAAACCTTTTTTTTATAATATTTTTAAATATCTGATTCTTTCATACTTTTAAAAGCAATTTATAATAAAGAGGTAACAAATTAAAAAAAAAAATTTAAATTACTTAATTTTATTTATAATAATTCAAATTTCAATGTATCGTCAAGGCTTCAACAACTTTTCAACTTTTCAATAATGTAGTAATTTTTCTCACCGTACTTATAAGTAAGTGTTTTTTAATAGCTATCTAGTCAACGGTTTAACTTTAAATATTTTAGTTTGTTACCTGAAGATGATTAACAATCGAAACATGTCGTAACATTTCACAATTTATCTGTCTGTCAACAATTAAATATCCATGGGGAAGGTTTTGAGGAATTGAGTCGTTTATTTCATGGTTCATCACCCCCATTTTGAGCATGGATCAACCACAACCAAGAGTTTTTTCTGCATTTAATGTGATTAATCATACTATTTTATTGAATAAATTATTTCATTATGGTATTAGAGGAATAGCTTTACAGTTAATAAAATCATATCTAATTAGCAAAGAGCAGTTTGTACAAGTTTCACATACCGAAAACGGCAGCAACACTTCAATTGAATCCGACCGACGGGTTGTATCAAGTGGGGTGCCTCAAGGCTCCGTCTTGGGACCTTTACTTTTTGTCATTTTCCTTAATGATTTGCCATTTAATTTTGGATCACTTGAATCAGTTTGCATGTTACTGGCAGCACGTCACAGTCACAACTTTCAAATAATCTGATACAAGCACATCGTTGGTTCTCAAATAAACAATTACAATTAAATGTCGATAAAACCAACATCATTGTATTCGGGAAAGATATTACGCAGTTTGAAAATTTTAATTTTGGCAATGTTAAACTTAGTTTTGTTCATACATGTAAAATTCTAGGCTTTGAAATTGATAATAAAATGAAATGGCGCCAGCATAGCTCATAATTAATTTTAAAACTGAATAAAGCTTTATTATCTCTCCGTCATCTAAGACGCTTATGTCACTATGATACATTAAGGAGTGTAGATTTTGCATACTTTGAATCTCATTTACGATTCAGTATACTATTTTGGGGAAAATCAAAGCTTATCAGCAGTATCTTTAAGCTGCAGAAAAGAGCCATCCGCATACTGGTTGGAATAGGTCCACAGGAGTCAAGCCGGTCTCATTTCAAAGAATTAAAAATCGCGACCTTATACAATTTATATATTACTGAATGTGCAGTGTACGTCCACAACAACATTCACCTGTTTGTTCCTAATGCCAAGGTTCACAATTACAATACAAGACGTGGTAAGTTTATTAGAACCCCAGTTTCAAAATCTAGCATTTTTAACAATTCTTTCATTGTAACAGCTATAAAAATATACAATAGCCTACCACATACCTGAAAGGAAAGTAACACTTCTGGTTTAAAAAAAATTTGAATGCAGACTTCAGGGAATTTGTTTTTTATTCTATATGTGAATTTTTTGATTCTTTTAAATAACTACGTACATATTTTACATTGTTTGTATGTGTACACCTGTATTGTAATATTTAAAATTTGTGTGTGTGTGTGTGTGTGTGTGTGCACCTCTGTACTGTAATAATTGTTGTTTACTGTGCAAGATTATTCAACGGTAAATATGAATAAAGTCTATCTATCTATTTATCTACAAACATTCACGATTCGAATCATGTACTGGTACCGGTACGTTTACGTTTTTACGATTTAAAACGCAAAACAGCGATTTAGCGAATTTAATTTGAGTCATCTACTTCGATAAGAAGGTGAGAAACGTTCTGCCGTGTTTACTCGTCTCCAGTATTTAAGGGAGCACCAGTTCCACCTTATGGGCAAAATAACACGTGCGTTAAATAAATTTCGTCTGATAATTAAACTCCTCATCGCATACGACCAGATGTAACTTTTTTTTTTAAATAACGCAGATTCGATCAGATGTGTCTTATCTAAATAGAATAAATGACAAAATCGATAAAATTTCTGATGAGGCATTTAATTCTTACTTGACATTTCAAGATGAAATTGGTCGATTTCATTTGATGTTACACTTAAAAAAATGTTTATAGAAACTTGAGAAATTCTGGAACTTGGACTTGGCTTGAAAACGAAATTGACAAGTAAACGTGGAAATAATATGAAGAAAGCAGATTGATAAGAACTCTAGGAATTGACGAAGAATTTTAGAAGTAAAAGTGAAACTAATTTGTAGAAAATTTGAGAGGTACATAAGGAGAATTCCACGGAGAGAGGGACTCGAGAGATATTTAAAAAAAGATACTAATTTTTACGGGTTTTCTATTTACAGCCTCCACTATACGAGTATTGTTTCAAGCTACACTAGATCAATTTTCGTGACCACGGTTTTTTGTCAATTACCCTGAAATTAAATTCAAAAATAATAACAAGGGAGGGCAAATTGTTCACACAAAAAATATACTTTATACTATTGAACTATTGATTATACTTTAAACAGAAAATGGACTTTTGACAATTCCGATTTTAATGAGTTCAGTCAAATATAATATGCAATATAAACGGCTTCAATTTGCCAAAAACTTGGTATCTTTAAGAACGCTCATATTCGAATGTTACGTGAGAAATTTTAAACTTTAATCAAAATTATAATTTCCGAATGTTTTTTTAAAGGTAGACATCTTTCAAATTTACCGAAATAAAATAACAATACCCTATGTGAAAGAATGTCCTTCTACAATACATCGTGAAGCGATAGGATCATGCCGACTGTAAAGATTTGTCCGTCGGATGCCTCTTCTTCTACGAATTTGTCAGGGAGTCGTTGCCCTCCGGATGAAGTTTTTCGGACGTTGACTTCCAATGTTCATAGATCGCAAGCAAGCAAA